CGGGCGATGGGCGATGGGCGGTGGGCGTTCAACGTGACAGACGCCGAGGCGAAATGTCGACAACAGCAGCAACAACAACAAAAGAGAAACAAAAATAAAAATAAAATGAAAGGAAAGGAAAAAGCAACGAGAACAGCAGCAGCAGCAAAATAAGAAGAAGACCAAGTAGGAGCGCAGAGAAGAGAAGCAAGTAAAGGGACATTATGCGTCTTTTCACATTTGAGAAAAAGGACAAATTTGTAAGGACAAGTGTAAGTGAGGAAAGCATGAGAAAACCCCCAACACATGCCCAACCACCCATCCCATCCCCTCCCTCCCCCATCACACACACACACACACACACGCGCGTGCATACACTTTGTGTGTTCACAGGCCAGTCACCATTACACGATGTCGAGTGAAAATCAATGCGCTTAATTTGTGGAAAATACCCATAAAAATATATATATACATATATATATAAATAAAAACAAAAGCCGAAAAGAAAATTATAAAACTATGTGAAAAATTTGCATGCAATACAAATTTGCTGCTTTTCACATTGAATTAAAGTTTTAAAAAGGGTTCGTTTCAAAAGCCGATGCAGGATATAACATTTTTAGGGATATGTCCAAGTTGTTGGCAATTGTAATTTACATTTTTAGAAATTTTATCCCTTAATTGAGAAAAATTCCTTTGCGATCATCTGCAAAACACAGATCTTTAAACATCTAAATAAATTGTTAGAACACGAGACATCAGGATTACATTTAAATGCTTCCACGAACGGAAAATGGGGGAAAAAGTGAAGAGAAAAACATTTCGATTACAAAGTTCTGGATGCTTTTAGTAGTATTTAAATTGAAATCGCCTTATAATAGCATTTTCGTCTCGCTTATACAGTTTTTAATATATATGGATTTAACATGAATTCAGCTTGTAACTAATAAATATATATAATACAATATTATTACTATCAAACACTCGAAATAACGTAAGGCTTAGTAATTATATTCTGCTCCAAAAAGTATGCTACAAAAATCTGTTTCCCGCAATGGAAAGTCGGAAAATGTTTAAGAGTATTTAAACAAAATAAAACTCGATATACCAGGGACAAGAAAGCACTAACGACTCTAAAGAGCATATATATTTATGATCAGGAAAATAAACTAGATGAACATATCTAATTTAGAGACTATAAGAGCTAGATACTCAAATCTTGTATATAGGCATAACTATTCCTGGTAATTAGCATCTTTAAAAACGTCATATACCGACTTTCCAACACGACTTTTGACAATATTTTTCAGAATTTAAAAGTAAATAAAAACTTGAATTTGAAAACTTAAAACAAAACTATAATAGTTGACATTTTAAATACTTGCACTACTCAATATTTGTTTAAGGTATAAATATGTAAATATATGTAAATGAATATAATTCCCAATGAAATGACAAGAAACGCAAAAGATTTAACAAAGGCACATTTTTCATATTATGAAACACGAAACAGCAGAATTTTGAAACTGTGAAGAGGGTATCTGCTAGTCTGGCACTAACAACTAACTTGCTTCTACACAATATTTCGTTCGTTTTCGCCCAACATTTGATCTATTCTCAGAGCATCAGTTCGTTTAACATTTTTCAGCTCCTGAATTCGGTACACATCATTTGTCAGCTCAAATGCTTCAATAGTTTACGTTGCATGCATGGAATAAAATATAATATAAAAGCGTGAGCAAATAAAGTACAAACAAAAACAAAAAACTGTAACCGAAATAAAAAAAATATAAAAACAAACCGGAAAATTCTTCAACTTTAGCTGACTTTTCAGAATTTTTGCGGCGACATCGTCGGCGGCGGCGGCGTTAGCGCGTGGAGGTAATTGAAGTGACGTTTATGAATGTCATCCGTCAAGCACTCAAGGACATTTACATACACACAAACACACGCACACACACACACAGGCACACACACAGAGTCAGACACACAGGGACATGCGTGGGGCGTTTGGTTGCTTGACAGATGCGCGCTACAGAGATTTTTTGTATACCACACCAATACACACAATGCACACGCACACACATGCACACACACAATGGCACACACAAGCTCAAGTCACATGGCGCATACGCCGCGTTGTCGTCATGTACCATGGGCAATATAGAAATTGTGTAGCACTAAATTATAGCGAATTTTGAATTCAAAATAAGAACAAGAAGTTAATTTTAATTATTGATTTAAAGGCATGTTGCTTCAAAGCTGTTAACTTAACAGCTGAGCGACATGTAAAAAATTCTGTTAAGTTACATTGCCAGCTTATGTATGTCTTGACTATTTAAGGACATTTTTTCTAAATATCCCATCGTATCCTATGGAGGATGTTAGCTGCTGCTGCTGTGTATATGTGTGTGTGTGAGTTTGTGTGTGTTTATTTATGTGTGTGCGAAACAATTTAAAAATAAATACAAGAAACTAGCGCAGAACGTGGCGGCAATGGGTCGAATGAGCGCCTGCTGGGCATCAGAGACGCGGTCGGGGGGTCTATTGCTAACCGCGAGGGCAGAATGATAGATTGAAAAGGACTTGAATTGTGCTGAAAAGGACTAGCTGCCACTCTGCCATTCCCTCCCTCACTCTCTCTCTCTCTCTGCCAATTTGGACAGTTTGTTTGTTATACGAATTGGACACGTTTTCGGGTTTCTCTACAGTTCATATGTCATTGTCTAGTTCTAGTTCCACACGCATCGTTTCTCATCATTCAAATGTTTTGCGTTTTTTAGCTATTTTTCATGTACAATTTTTACCTTTCGCATAGCTGATGAGCCGCAACAGAACTCAAACTATTGAAAATATACAAATAAAGATGTGTTCGGGGTTTCAAGCCAAAGACTAGAGGGTTAAGATAAAGAATGAGAAATACTAATATATTATTCAATATAAAATTTAAAATTCCTCTAAAATAATATATTCCAAATGAAAACTGTAATCCTTTACTGGAAATTTAATTTATATAAAATTTACCTCTTATAGATTTACCTCTTTAATTTTTTGAAATAACCTTCTCTTGAACCAGTCGAACATAAAGTCGCTGGTTCAAACTGTGTACGTAGCTAGACTACAAACGTATCGTACAGCCCACGTGTTGGTCTTTCATCTTATTCTTTGGATGCGTGGCATGCATATGTGGATGCCACAGTGGCTCAGTGCAACACAGTGGCAACCCACTTGGCTTGTCTACTAATTAAAATGCATGCAATAACCTGAAGCCTTTGTTGCCACATTGTTGTTGTCGAGGTTGTTGCTGCTGCTGCTGCTGCTGCTCATGCCACTGTTGTTGTTGGTGTTGTTGTTGTCGTATGCGTAGAAGGACGCACAGTGTTCACAATTTGCACAAAGTGCTTGGACTTGGACTTGGGCTGGGGCAAAGAGCTGGGGGCGCACTTTTGCTTTTAAGACGAACCAATTTTTTTTAGTATGGCCCCAAGCTGTCCGCCCCCCCCCCCCCCCCCCCCCCGGCGCCTTAAGCCAAACTATTGATAGCTTTATAAGCCACATTTTTAATTGTCTATCAACGCGTCTATTTTTAAGCACAAAACTAGCATAAAATGTCCTTGCACTAAGCTCAGCTGGCGCAGGATCACAATTTCCCAGGCGCATGCATTTTTCATAAAAGCAATTTAAAGGTCCAAATGAAGCAACTGTTGCTGTTATTGCTGCTGCTACTGCTGCTGCATGTTGTGCCACGTGTTGCAACAAAAAATTAATGCAAATTTGCATAATAAATAAACACAATCAAGTGCAACGGCGCAACGAGCAACAAATTTTTGCGTGACTAACACAAAGTGCGGCGCATTGCAGGCTCATTTTTAGAGTACCCTGGAGAGCGCCAGCTCAGAGCGGGTATATTTGTCAATTGTAATATATTGATTATGAAAGAATATTTAAGGATGAAACATAAATAAAAATAAAATAAAATAAAAGAGCTAGAGATTTAACGTTCAAAAAGACGTAGTTCCAATCCAATCCAATACCTCATAACTTGCCCCGTACCCAAGTAATCGATAATACTCGAAATCGACAGCCTCTTTTTTGAATAAATATCTTGGGTTTTAACAGCTAAAGTCACCAGATGTGACATGTCGCTTCTAGAATAGTATATACTAATCAAGTATCTTTCATTTCCATCCTTCTTAGAAAAATAATCAGGATATACCCTAGTCGGACTCTCCCGACTAGTGCACACTTATATGCTTTATACATAACTTCACAACACTTAAATATCGAAACATATCAGTTTTCAGTATTGTAAAAGCCCTACAATATTAATTTGTTTAAGCCTTAAGCTTAAAATAAATCAATAAATAAAGAATTACCCACTTCATAAACAATTATAAGCTGTACATTTATATATACATTATCTATATAACTACATTTAAAGTATTACTACAGCATTTATGTTATTTGTTATATTCATCAAAAGCCCAAAAGAAAGTGTGCTTTCCCAGTGTGTAAATACTTTTAAAGCACTATTATATATATGTTTGTGTGCCTTTAAAAACTAGAGGGTATGCAAAGGGCGAGCATTGTCGACTACCCACTTCTTGTTGATGCTCTTAAAGTAGTTTATTTACATTTTATGGTTGAATGCAGTAAAGCGATTTACAAAATTAGAGAGTGCTCCATGGAGCTCATGAACCAAATAAATGGATTTGTTGTGACAGTGCATGTCGAAAGGATTTCCTAAACAGATCGAATTAAAGCGATTTGCAGGAACAGCAATATGCATAAAAGAGTTGGGATCAGAGTTGGGAATTTAAATAATGCATGTCTGGCATAAATCTTTGTATTAATGTAAAAAAACCTAAATATGTATAACAAATAGCTTTTCGCGTCGAATTATATAACAAATAGCTTTTCACATAGTTATTAACCTTAGATTAGCTTAGGTTAATAATATTTCCTAATGACTATAGGTCCTATATATAACGTATATAACTTACCCCGAAGGTATAATATCGCCTTTTCTCCGAGTTATCGATTTATTAGCCGACTTTGGATTCATGCAGACCTGGGCAAAAGGAAATAGGGACACATTGGTATGTTAATACTCAAGTAATACTTAGTTTATACTTATTTGATTTTATGGTTTTGGGTGGAACTGCAAGCTACTCGATTTACTGTGATTTTGGGTAATATCGATTTTTTTGTATGTTTTGCTCGCTTTACGGACTCGAACCAAAAAATTAAAATATTTGTAATACTTTTTTTTCGATTTTAATGAAACTAGGGAATTATACAATATTACCAAACTAATGTCAAGGATTTTCCAAGCAATCGTCCAAGTATAATATTTGCCAGGGTATATCAAGTATTTAACGCAGCCTATTCATGCATAAATTGTGCCTCGCATGAATTGTTTGTTGTCTTTAACCAACAATAATGTCTCCATTTAAGTCGCAACACTTTGCTGCTCATTATTTTAACGACATTTGAAGGCAATTGTATACCCAAAAGCAAAACGCATAAATTACGCAAATGACCTTGAGATTCGCGAAGCGCTTTTATTACAAACGTCAAAATTTCGATATCGAGCTTTGAACCGAGCATGCAAAACGAGTGGGCGACGAAACAGAAGAGGAGGAGAGCGAGACAGAGAGAGAGAGAGAGAGAGAGAACCGGTTCGCGTTGAACTTGACCCGCTAGCGCTGTCTTTTTGTTTGGGCAACTATTCGCTGCGCCGCGTGCAGCTATGCGGTAAATCGCACTGTTTACAAACAACATTCTAGAAATTGCAAAAGAAGCAACAGCCGCAGCCAGAGTATATATTAATAACAACTACAGAGACAACAACAACAGCTGTTGCCGTTTACATGCGATGTCGCCGCTTCCGTTATTGCGAGCGAAAGCTTTTGCGCTCACAGACGATCGCCGGCAACACAACACGATTGCCAAAGCTTTTGCGCTCTGGGCAGACAAACTGGCCGCGACTCTAAGCTAGTTTTAGTTTGGAAATTGACGCGCTGACAACACGCGGCAAACGGCAACAATCTATAAATAAATTGAAAAATTTACAAATTTAGGAAAGAAACAAAGAAAAAACAAAAAACATTTATATGCATAAGCAACAACAATTTTCTGTCGTGGAAAATTGTTTTGATTTTGAATTTTAAGTGAGTGCCAAAGCGATTTCATTCAACTTTTCGCATATGGCTAAAGCAACAAGTCACAAATGGATATGTCTACATACATATATACATACAAACACACATACACACATGTGTATTAACTGTAAATCAATCGTTTGATTGAGCGATCGATCGATAATAAAAGCTTACCTCATTTGGCATATATTATGCGTTAAAAAGATCATAATTTGGCAATAAATACACAAAAAAAATATAATTAACTAATTGAGTTTCAAATTAGATGATATACTATTAGCTCTTTCTTTAGTTAACTTTAACTCCCAAGTTAACTTTCCATAATCACGGCTCAAGTTCGAATTACTTCATCACGATCGCCGCGAAGTGAAATCTGCGCATGGTTCAAAGAGATTTTTGTCTAAATGCAAAAAAAAAGTTGTTGCCAATAAAGTTGTTACAGAAATCTATATAAAAATTAAAAAGCTGTCAGAACCAAAATTCCAATTTTTTAACAGAGGTTTGAATTAAATTTAAAAATTGGAATAATCACAATTATATAAAATAAATTAATTTGAAAATAAAATAAAACAATTGTGTAACTTTTTTCACGTTACAACAAGTTTTGAAATTGTACTCTATTTTTATTACTTTTTTAAATAAAATGGTTTTTTTTTTTTCATTTAAATTTATGTTTAAATGAAAATATAAGTTGTATTCTCGGGAAGTTTATGCAATTTTTTCCACTTAAAATCAATCATTCGTGTTGTACAAAATTAAGTTTAGGGTTCAATGGTGAACCTGGCGTATACTTAACGTAGCACACATTAACAATTAAGATTGATAAACTTTGCTCTCCAAGCTGCTATGACTTAATGAATCTGCGCCATAGTGGACACTATATATATGTATATATACAAGATCAAAAAGAATTGCATCTTCGCAAAATATTACCAATGTATATATATAAATATATATATATAGAATATATATTAGCTAATGGGAATTGATTGACTGCTAATTACTTTGTTTTTACTAGACTTAGAGCTTATTGACCCATTCAATAAACCCTATATATAAACTGCACTATTCGTAAACACTTTTTTCTATGCTTTAATAATAATCAATTATAATTGAGAATGCATTTCTAGAACGAAGCCCCAAAACTTTATTCTTATATTTGTGATGATTAAGCTTTTAATATGTATATTTATGCTTTTGCTTTTGCGTCAGAACTCAAGGAATTATATTTATTAAATGATTATATTTTAAACCAAATTTTAAAATGTTGCAACAAAAAAATGTGAGCTGCTCACACGGAAAGAAAAACTATTTTCCTTTCTGCAAATAATTGTTTTAAATACATTTCAAAGATTATATTAAATACAAAAATATATACAACATATCTTTTTGAATATTTAACATTATCTAATATTTATATATCTTCAATCGGAATATAATTTGTATTAAAAATGTATAAATATATATATATATATATATTTATAGGTTTTCCTGCGATACAAGAAAAGCGAGCAGACATTGACGTCACGACAATTCTAATCAGCTGCCGAGCTCAGTATTTTCGTAAAAGTACAAATTTCCTGAAGTTAATCACCAGCACACACACACACATACACACACATACACACACACACATACACACACACAGATACACACGCACACAAGCGCATACGAAGTGCCCTTGAGCAATAAAATAATTAGAATTACAATAAAAATAGGCAAATCGCGAAATCCTCGAGGAAAAAAAATCAAGCCAAGGCATATACATATATATATAATTGAGCGCAATTATTGTTATTACGCATAATTAATAACAAAGCAAATCAATATAAGGACAAGCACATATTTATATTTATATATATAGTATATATAATATATATATGCCAAGAAGATCACTTGAAGTCTTGAAGCATCAACGCATTGCTGAATAAGCAGCACAGAATACATATATACCCTGCAATTGAGGCACACTTCGAGACAAAAAGTGTAAGTAGAAACGTAGCAATCAACTTAATTATAAACAATTTCAATTTTTATTAATTTTTATTAAAAATTTTATATCTAAATTTTCATATATTTTATTTTAATTAATTTTATTTAATTTTTTTTTGTTTTGTTTTTTTCGTACAGCTTATTGGCACGAGTAACGGGTCGGGCTGTTGGCCGCGTGGCAGTTGGCCACAACGGGGCTTTGCAACATATTCGGCAAGTGGGTCAGTCTTGGATGCGAAATATCAAGAGTTGCCATTACATTATGTGCATAAAAATGCAACAGCCAACGACAGCAGCAACAATAACAACAACAACAGCAACAACAAGACAAACAACAACAGCAACAATAAGACGTGTCAGCAACAACAGCAACAATTACAACAACAAAATGTTTCATATGTTGGTATTGGCGCTGCTGCTGTTGCAGCTCATGAGCGGGCAAATCGATCCGGTGGATGGCCTCAAAGTAACGGTAAGTTAGTAAGTTAGTTAGTTGGCCAACGACTAACAAGACAACAAGTATTTGCCAATCGACTATTGGGTAATGTCTTTATTGAAAGAGTTGAAAGTGGCCAGCCGTGCGTATACTTGATATTTTATATTTAGACCTACATACTTGCCCAAGCCGGAGTCATAAATTTAGTTACATTTATTTAATATGCCCTACAAGTTGAAGCACTTAACCTAGCCTACTCAGCGCTTAAACCAGTTGCGAATTGTTACGTAATTTATTATTTAGGCATTAGCTTCGTAAAGAAAACCACATAAAAGTAGTAAAACTCTTTGAAACTCCTTTAAAATTGAAACAGCCTCAGTTATTAGTAAGCTTTAAAAAGAACACAACTTGCATATAAGTTCAGATGAACTGGATCTTTAAGCCTTTGAACTAGCTCATAACACCTTCACAAGTGTTTAAATACTTGACAGAAAAGTCATATATAAAACTTCTCTGGTCAATTAAATTAAATTAAAATTAAAATTAAATTAAATAAATATTGTAACTCTACAAATTCTGAAAATGCGATTAAAATAGCTTATCTGGTAAATTACATTATCTATTATCTGCGAGCACTACAACTACGTGTCTTTTTTCTACTTGAAGACAAATCTCAATCAATCTATATTTAACTGCCCAAGTAACATCCGATTTTTGAATAGGATCTAGACCTTATCATGGTGCTCAACATGTCTCAGACAGTTGGGAATCAATAAAACAAATTTCGTTTGTACGATAAGATATTCGACACTCACTCGCAATAATTTTGGACTTTGGTTTGGGATTAATAAAAAAAACTTGCGTTACTTCCAGAAAAAGTAAAAATATAATTATATGGCAAATATAAACTGACACATATCAAAAAAACACCGAATGACTATTAAAGATTGTTCAAGTGCATTGAATGATTGTGACTACCGATTATAATCTATATTTTCAAAATGCGCTAATGAGCTAAAGATAATGAGCCTAGCTCATTGAATGATGAGTAATTATTGTTGCCGTTAGATAAGCATTAATATCCTGAGCGATAACTGGAAAACTTGGCAAACTTTTAACTTTGATCGGGCGATAATAGCATAATTTATGGCACGCTCCCATATCAGTCATACGTGGCCCCCTCCAAAATTATGTACGGCTGATAATATTTCTTGAAGGTTGTTCCAATTCACATGGTAAAAGCTCTAGAAACTAGCGCGTGTCAAAGTAAAACAATAACAAAGCATAATTACCCCACTTATGGGTGCATACATATGGCCCCTCTTCCGTACACTTGCCCGATTTGTTCAAATATCAGCGGAACATGACTATATAATCTACACATAAAACGTTTATTTTGAAGCCATGCGCCGAAATGCAAAATTAGGTGAATACACTTAGAAAAAATCTAGAAACAAATCTGCATTTCAATATTTTAATGTTTGGTATGACTCAGAAAAAAAGATGAATTCAAAAATTACTGTGCTTATTTCGACATTTTTGAAATAGAAATGTCGTTCCTTAAGCTGGTCTAGTATACTCTCGATTTATTTCGCTGAGTGTACATAGTTTCATATGTGTGCGCTACGTACTCGTTTATAAAGCAGCTGCGATCACCCGATCAACAACAAAAACAGCTACGCACATCAGCTGATTGTGCTCAATAACTGTGCTCTGGCTGATAAGAGAGTTGAAGTACAAGCTGTGACAAGCACAACCATAACCGTGCTTCCGCCACCCCCCATGATCGTGACAAAGCTTTGCTTGAAAAACTTTTTCCACGCCCCCCACACTTATGAATGGCACACGACGCGCTGCCGCTGGCAAAGTTTGATGACGCGCTTCTTGTGCTTGGACTTTGCCATTCGTCGTTGTTGTTGTCGCTGCTGGTGGGTGATGAACTGAACGAAAAGTTTCGTTAAGCTTTTACATGCGCGCCTTTGTTGTCGCAAAAGCGCGAGAGAGAGCGGGAGAGCGCGTGAGAGAGAGAGCACGCTTACAACAATAACAAACGTTTATTTTCTTGTTTTTCTTGATTTTGATAAAGCGACTTAAGACCATCTAATCACAATGCCCACCTGGGGAATATCTTTCGGCAGCTAAAAAAAATACACAGACGAACTTTGATACCGATTTTATTTTATAAACATCGCCTAATGCTAGGGTGAGGGATTTGCTTGCTATAAAATTATTAATAAACACACACAAAAAAAAAGTGGTGCGATCATTATTTAGTTTTTGTCTGGCTAGCAAAATAAAAAGCTTGGGAAAGTTTTATATGGGTCATGCCTCCAGTCTTGTAGATAGTGCCAAATGATTGAATATGTTAATTACTAAAATCAAATTTTAGTTATCAAATTAAAGATTTCGCGAAAGAAATAAATACAAATAAAATGTGTCTGTTGTGCCTTTGGAAGCAAGTACCAAGCACATTTTTCTACATAAACATTATGCATGATTAGATTAAAGTCAACTAGAGATATTTGAAAACTCTTCTGAATAGTCATACTAATCTCTTTACAGGCCACTCTCATAACGAATCATAACTATCCCGTGGAGGAGCACACGGTGCACACGCCTGATGACTATATTCTCACTATTTATCGCATACCCACATCCCCCAAGAGGCAGCAGCTCAATGAGACGCAGCAGAAGCCAGTGGTATTTTTGCAGCATGGCATTCTGTGCGCCTCGGATGATTGGATCATCAATGGGCCGGAGACATCGCTGGCCTACATGTTCGCCGATGCCGGGTACGATGTGTGGCTGGGCAATGCGCGCGGCAATACGTATTCGCGTCAGCATAAGCACATACATCCGGATACGTCGGATTTCTGGAAGTTCAGCTGGCATGAGATTGGCGTCTATGATCTGGCTGCCATGCTGGACTATGCCCTGGACGTGAGCAACAGCACATCGCTGCACTTTGTGGCACATTCCCAGGGCACGACCACATACTTTGTGCTGATGTCCTCGCTGCCTTGGTACAATGATAAGGTGCGCTCTGTGCATTTGCTGGCGCCGATTGCCTACATGCGCAATCATTCGTTCATTCTGTCCAAGCTGGGCGGCATATTTCTGGGCTCACCCTCGTTCCTGAGCTGGGTATTGGGCAACATGGAATTGTTGCCCATTACTAGCATACAGAAAATTATGTGCGAGCATGTCTGCTCTGTGGGCTCAATGCTGAAGTTTTTGTGCTCCGGACTGCTGGACTTTATTGGCGGCTGGGGCACCAGACATCTAAATCATGTTAGTAGAAGCAACAATCCCAACTGGAAACTAGTATATTAACTATTTCATGTAAATTTCAGACCCTATTGACAGACGTTTGTGAGACACATCCGGCTGGCGCTTCCACCACACAAATTATACACTATCTACAGCTATACACATCGGGAGATTTTCGACAGTATGACCATGGCAAGGAAAAGAACGAGATTATCTATCGACAGGCCGAGCCGCCGTCATATAATGTTCAAAATATCAATAGCTGTGTTAATATGTACTACAGTGACAATGACTATATGTCCGCTGTGGAGGATGTTGAATATTTGGCCACATTGCTTCCCTGTGCGGATCTCTATAGGGTGCCCTACAAAGACTGGAATCATTATGACTTTCTGTGGTCTGTCAATGTCAAAGAAGTGATAAATAATAGAATAATTGATAAAATGCACAGTTATGACATCGAGCACGACACGGGCATGAGTTTCTAACTAATATATATAAGTAAGCGGTCCCAAGTATAAAAAAACAAAAAAAAAAAAAAAACAAAAAAAGCTTAGCCAAATCAAAGAAGGGTACTCAGAATGTAAATACGTGTAAATAATATAGTTAGATATGAGCATGTGCGTGATATATATGGTAATGTTTATGTTTAAGTTGCAAAAGGTTTGTGAAATGCTTCTAGTGAAAGTAATATAGTTCTTAGTACGCTCTAAAATATACGATACATCATTGTTTTTTAAAAACACCGCCAAAATAATGTTATTATTAGCAGGAGATTTTCAACAGCTTGTTATCGATAGTCAATAAACTGCAATTCCTGTTGTTAACAGAAAACTCCCGCATTCAACAGATTAGTCAGTTAACACAATATGGGTCTATCTAACATCTCCTAGCTAGCAAATTATATAACTCTCAACATAGAGTACGTACTTTTGAATATACGCTGTCGTACACACTTAATTCTTTTTAAATTGCCGCCAGACGCTCAAATGTTACTATTAGCAGAATCGATAGACCACTTAACAGAAAACGGCTGCAGTTAACAGTTAGACTCTCTCAACTTAGCCCGTTAACAGTTTGCCTCCTGCCTCTCATACTTAACTCACCATTCGCTTTCAATATAAACAGTTAATTAACTGCAAATAGAAACAGTTTATTCACCAAATTTTGATTTTTTTCACCTCTTTTCTATAATTAAATGTTTTGCTAAATATTTACGAATTTTCTCAACTGTGACTTACCTGTGGATAGTACCAGTGAAAAGTAGCAGTTAAGCGAATATCGCTCATCTCTAATATGTATTCGCTGAGTGTATAACGCAAGTAGTTAAATTTTTTCACAGTGCTGCTGCACAACAACAAATACGGTGTGCGTAAAATCACAGAAACACAAACAAAAAACCCGTGCAAATCGGTTGCATTTGATTTGATTTTCGCACGAAATTAGTTCACATGTAGCTGTTTAATACAAATTCCATATCCAAAATGGGTAGGTAATGGTGGAAAACAATTATATTTGTGTCTAAGCCGCGATGCTGTGCACCCCCACCTTCTTCGTTTTGCGTACTGAACCAGGGCTGCATGCAAAACCAACAACAATTAAATATTCACAATTTTTGGCAAATGTAAAACAACATCAAAAATGTAAACCGCCTTTTACAGCTTCCCAATCGATAAGTGTGGGACAAAAAATGCTAGTGGAAATTACCACGGACGGCGTACCGAAGCTTCACTGTCCCGTCTGCAACAAGGCGCTCATTTCGCTCGCCGGCTACGTGAAGCATGTCAAGAAACACGAACCGCCGGGCGGCTTCCAGTGCCGCTACTGCGACATCCACTATTGCCACGAGGAGGAGCTGAAGGAGCATGTGAAGAGCTCGCACAGCGCCTACATATGCCGACTGTGCGTGGGCGGCAATGTTATATTCAGCAGCGAGGCGGAGCACGATGCGCACATCGAGGAGGCGCATCAGGATCGCAAGTTCAATGTGTGCCTGGATGCCATCGAGAAGCCGTTCAAGTGTGAGGTGCGTAGCTGGGCTGATGATGTGTAGCTGTTGCCAATTCCAAGTTCAACGTGTGCCCTTTGCAGATTTGCGGGAAGTGCTTTGTGGATCGTGAGAGCAGCCTGAAACATCATTCCGAGCACGCCAACGCGTTGCCCGTGGAGTGCAAATGCTGCGCCATGCGCTTCTCCTGCCCCTCCACCTTGGCCAAGCACCAACGCAAGTATCCCGACAGCTGCGGTCGTCAGTTGCCGCGCACAAATCGCCATCGCTGTGGGTGCTCCAGCTGCTAAGTTTCCCAAAGATTTGGCCAATTCTAATCAATTTCTCTTGCAGTGCCCGCTGCAGCAGAGACAGTATCCGCCGAGCTCGCCCAGCAGCATGTGGTCAAGCGTAAACGCGGCAGGCCCAAGAAATGTGCGCCGGTTGCGCCGCCCTCGGAGGATAGTGAGGATGATGTGCCGCTGGCCAGCAGGCTGAAAGTGCAGGCGCCCGTCAAGCTGAAACAGGAGCTTATTAGCAGCCAGGAGCTGAGTGATTCAGACGAGGAATATCCAGACTTTGAGCCCAACAACAGCGACGAGGAGCCTGATGCGGTGCAGTTTAAGCTACCCACTCCGGCGCTGGTCAAAGAGGAGGCCATAGATCCGGACTTTGAGTACCAGGATGCGAGTGCCTTTGTCAAGATGGAGGGCAACGGCCTGGACATATATAGCAATGAGAAAGACAAGCTGCTCGATGTGCTGCTCAGCACGGACGAGAGCCTGAAGCCCTTTGAGAATCTCAAAGTGGAGCATGCAACGGGCATACTGGATGAGATTGCCGCAGTGCCCATGGTCAAGCACAATGGCGCCGAGCACCTGGAGGAGGATGTGCTGGCGCTGCGCGAAACCGAGCCAGACAGCGCCGAGGAAGACGAGGAAGCGGAGCAGCTGCGTCCGCTGACCAAATCCAGTGTTAAGCGAAAATATCGCAAACGCAATGCGACGGCCTCACCCATGCCGGAGGAGACGACGGCCTCAACAGGACCACGACGCGTGGCCAAAATAACCAAAAAGGAGCTGAAGGAGCGTCTGAAAATGTTGAGCAAAATGGAAAGAACCTGGCAGTGTCCGCACTGTGTTAAAATCTATCACATACGCAAGCCATACGAGAAGCATCTGCGCGACGATCACAAGCTCAACGAGCAGGCCATCAAGGAGCTGTTCAAGGATGCGGATGCGCATGCCAAGCTGGACGAGGAGGTCTTCAAGTGCAAAATATGCAGCAAAATCTATTTGGTGGAGAAGCGCCTGGAGACCCACATGAAGGTGCACGGCCAGGATGGCAGTCTCACCCACAAGTGCCCCTGCTACTGCAATCTGTTCTTCGCCAGCAAGGAACTGGCCACCCAGCACGCACACCAGCAGCACAAGGAGCTGCTCTACTGTGAGAAGTGCGACAAGTATATGACTGGGCACGATAGCCTCAAGAACCACGAGAAGAACTATCATGCCCGCAAGGAGCCCCGTAATCTGCCGCGCAATCTGATCTGCGATAAGTGTGGTAAGAAGTTCACCGGGCGAACCTCGCTCTCGGATCATGTGCGCTCCGAGTGCGGCCGTGTGCCGCTCTATGAGTGCAGTGTCTGCTGCAAGCGGCTTTCTACGGCGGGCATATTGAAGACGCACATGCTGCTCCATCAGTCTGAGACGCCCTACCAGTGCGACAAGTGCGGCAAGACCTTCAAGGTGAAGGCGCAGTACAAGTCGCATCTTAAGACGCGCCACACGGACTACAAGCCTTACAAGTGCCATGTGAGTATAATTCCAGTAAATGCGGAAGGGTCCTGTTAATGCTAGACAGCTGTTAAAGGCAAAGCCTTCTGTTAATTGTTATGTCTGCTGTTATTCCTACTAAAGCTTATCGTTGCGGCCTGCTGTTAAATTAAACCTTATTAGAAATGTTGCCGTCTGCTGTTAAAGCTTAGCCGAACTGTTAATTCTAATCAGCTAAAGCTGAGGCCTGCTTTAAACTTAAATCTTGCCTAGTTCTAATGGTAAAACCTTTTAGTGCTTTATACTGCTGGTAAATATAAAGTCTTAATGCTTAATGCTAGTTAACCGCGCCTTAGAGCCAGGTATAGTTAAGTAAGGTACACTTACCTTCAAGAAAAACTCCTCACTTTCCACTTAAACGCTTTTTTATTTGCTCTTCTTTTACAGCTCTGTCCCAAGGAGTATCCGTACCGTGAGAGTCTGTTGACGCACATGACTGTGCACACGGGCATCAAACGTTTCCTTTGCAATAATTGCGGCAAGCGCTTCACTTGCATCTCAAATCTGCAGGCACATCGCAAGGTGCATGCGGACACCTGCGGACAGTTGCCCCTAAATGCCAAGGCGACGCAATATATGGGCGTGCAGCGTGGCAAGCTGCTGATGGGCGCCAAGCCGGAGGCGGGCATGGAGTACGAGGAGACAAAAACGCTGATTGCCCAAGATGTGATCGATCGGGATATGCCCATGGCGCAGGAGCTCAACTTTCCTTCCGATGGCAGCGCGCCACTGGCCACAGTGCCACTCAACTACGCCTCCTCGCATCTGGTTCCGCATATTGTGCTGCAGACCATGCAGGCGGAGGCACGAGCACAGCATTAGTTTAGGTTCTAGCGATTACACTTTAAACGAATAAAGACGCTTTTGTATATTGACTAAATTTTTAACTTACGAGCTACAAACTTAATCCTACTGTTTAGTTTAGTCTAAAGTAGGGCTGCTGGAAGCGCCCGATGGGCATGCGTCCTTTGCTGCGCAGCCGTCGCACGGCCTCGCGTATAAACTTGGGCTGCAGTGCGCCGGATTCGCCCTGTTGCTCCATCACGTCCAGAGCTGCAAGTCAGAGGGGTTTGATTAAAACTTTCCCAAGGGCTATAGCCACTGCTTACCCTCCTCCACGACCTCGCCCACAAACACCTTCGCTATGCCGGACATTGCTATGACCACGTTTTGGGAGACCGAGCAGCCGGTTATGGTCTGCATCAGGCGCTTGACCGCGGCTTTGGGAAAGGCGGAACGGCGATACATCTCATACCGATCTAGCTGCTCTTCTGTGAAGTTGGACACCAGCACTCTGAAATTAATCACTTAAGATGCTACTGTGGCCTTGATTTATGCAGCACTTACTGCATGCGTTCTCGTTCCTCCTCCTCGAGTTCCTTTTTGGTTTTTAGTTTCTTTTGAGAGGGCTCACCGGAGTCGCCGTCCGCATCGGCATCTGCTTTGCCATCCTTGTTATCGGCATCATTGCCATTGCCCTCTGCCGTGTCGGATGTCTCACTATCCTTCCGGCTTTCGGTGGCTGTATTAAAGAACTTTAAATCCACATCATCGTTGTCACTTAGTGAATTTTGGGTGGGAAACAGAATTTCATCCATTTCGCTAAAAGTAAACAGCTTAAAATTATCGAACAGCCACCACCATCTATCGGTAGACTCGAAACAGGCATTGTTCAACACTGCTTAAGATGATTGTGAATGATATATCGATAGTTCGTTGAGGACAGTTTTATTTTGCAAATAGTTAATAGATATATATGTGTGAAGGAATACGTAGTTTTTGAGTCATCAAAATTATAATCTAGTTGGCCGCTTTATGTAAAATTTAAATTTAATATGAACACAAGCTTACGATAGAAATATTCGTTAAACTTAAATGTATCGTGTTTTTGGCTAGCAACACATCTCTAACC